GGAATATTATGAAATTAAGTAATTTAATCTCTTTGTTTCTTCCTCTCCGTCTCTGCATTTGCATACAAGTATGTAATAAATTAATTATTTTAACTTGAATATCACATGTATGTACAACACACACACACAAAATATATATATATATATATATATATATATATATATATATATGAATAAATCTAATGATACAATATTCCAATTAATATACAATATAAGTTTCAATATATCTCATTTAAAAAATATTAATTAAACTATAGAAATTAAATATAATTATAAATGTAAAGCAATTTCTTGATACTCGATTTATAGTGCACAATAATAGATTTCAAAAAAGTTTGCGTGCAAATAAGAAAAGTATCACGATTATTGCATAGTAATTGAGAATTGAATCGCAATTCAAAACGGCGCAGCGTCAGCCGCTAGCGATATTTTATGACTTCACTCTCTGCACTGCGTAAAATATTTCATTACGCGGCCTTAGCTATATCAAACGCAAGGCACATCGATGAAATGACCGAGACGGATTAAACGAGGGCGTGTTTTGGCTTTGTGCTCTGCGACGCGACGTAGAGCGATACAGTAGCAATTTGTGCCGCAAAAATAAATCTATTGCACAATCGTATATATGTACAAACACACGTAACAATTGGCTACTTATATTGATTACAATTATTATATAATATTATATTATAGGAGAAACACTCGCGCGATAAAGCTTCAGTTATCGAAATTAAACGCTACTATACGTAACATGAAATGTAGAGATATTATGTAAGATAAATAATCCAGACTTATATGCGGCCTGAATTTATCTCAATTACTTCATTTTTATTTTGCTTTTATTTATTTCTCTCCTCCCCTCTCCCTTCCCCCCTCCTCGCCTCCATCTCATCCTCCGTTTATAGCATAATAAAGGAATATATACTCGTATACATATATATAGTTTTAAAAACTAAGAAATCATTATTTATATTTAGTGAAAGGGCGTAAAGAAAAAATTGCTCGACAATTTTGTCAACGATTATTAACAAATTTTAGATGTTATATTCCTTACCTTTTTAAAAATCGATGAAAATATTAATTTTCAAATCACAAAGAATTCCTTATTCCTATATATATTTTATATTATAGTAACTCGTTCTTAAGCTATTGTTCAAGGTAGGATTGTTTAAAATTTAATTATTTGAAAGTTTAATATTTTTTCCTTCTTTTGATAAATTTATTCGGTTCCCGACCACCGACCCAGTTGTTCACTGACCCTAAAAAAGACAGCAGGGTTATCAACTCCACAAAATCGAATCTATTTGAACCTCTTTCAGGTTTGAAACTCTCACCATTGAAGACAGGTTGATAGTTAGAAAGTTACCAACGCCATTTTGTTTCCCTAGCCATTTTCTTTGGACGCTCGATAGAGGTCGTCGCAGAGGGAAGTGTGGCGTGAGAGAAAAAAGCCGGAGAACCGAGAGCAGCGCGCGTCTTCACACTTTACGGTCTTCAGTATATACGTATATTGCGTATATCCGGGAGAACATAACCTCGAAGAGAGAAAGAGAGAGAGAGAGAGGAGACAGATAACCCACTATCTACCTACGGATGAACTGTCAATTTCGGTGTGCAGAGGGGCGTGTTTTGCGATCGTGAGGACAGGCCAAGGAAATTCGTGTAGACTGACCAGAGTCCGCGAATTTCCGTGAGCACTGGCGGCGTACACGTTACACGATCGCTCGAACGGCAGAGTATCGTTTAATAAAATTTAATCAACGACCGCGCCCGTCGAGCCCGCGTGTCCCGCGTTCACCTCGAGTTCTCTTCGAGCGTACGCTGATTCATCATCGCTGGCTTCGATAGTATTCAACGTCCCACGCCAATCGTCTTGAAACATCCTCTTTTACTAAGAGCAATCGCGAAATGACGGAGGTCTACAACTTGGGTGTCGATGCCATCAGCTGTCACGCGTGGAACAGAGATAAAACTGGTACGGAAAAACTGGTATTGTCCTCCCTCTAATAGATATCCCCTTCCTCTCTAATAGATTCCTCTCTCTCTAGGTAGTAGTTACTAGTTAGATTGTATTAGTGGATACGATAATCAAGCCGTTTTCACAGAGGTTGCCGTATGCCCAAACAACAATGAGATCCAAGTGCACAAACGTACTTCATCCGGATGGAAGTTACTCGAGACCTTGGAGGAACATCACATGGCTGTCATGGGAATCGACTGGGCGCCGAAAACCAATCGCATAGTCACCTGTTCCGCAGACAAGAATGCCTATGTATGGACTCAGAAAGAAGATGGCAAGTGGGATCCCGCTTGGGTACTTTTGCGAATAAATCGAGCCGCTACTTGTGTAAAATGGTCTCCTTTAGGTATATACATATACCCTCTATGCGCGTCCGAAAGAATTTACTCCAAATTTGTTATAGCTCTGTACAAAGACTGTCATTACAGAAAATAAATTTGCCGTGGGTTCCGGAGGACGAGTTATAGCTGTTTGTTACTTTGTATCAGAGAATAATTGGTGGTTATGTAAACACATTAAGCGTCCATTAAGGTCTACGGTAACTACCGTTGATTGGCATCCCAACAATAAGGTTCTGGTCGCGGGATCGACGGACTACAAAGTCCGTGTCTTCAGTGCATTTATCAGTGATATGGAGGATGCTCCTGGTACTAGTCCTTGGGGACAGAGTAATACCTTAGGAACATTATTAGCTGAGTTTCCTAATACACCCAATGGAGGTAAAACCGTCATCTTTTATTCTATTACATTTTAATTATTTTTGTATTCACATTTGAAATATATGAAATATATTGTATAATAAATACATATATATTCTGTCTATATTATAAAGAATTACATTTTAATTGTTGCTTTTGTAGGTGGCTGGATACATTCAGTATCATTTAGTCCATGTGGCAATAAAATCTGTTGGGTGGCGCACAACTCGTCCGTATGTGTTGCTGATGCTACTAAAGGAAATGCAGTCATGAGATTATATACAGAGCATTTACCGTTTTTAAGCTGCATTTGGATAGGTTCTAATAACATTGTTGCTGCTGTAAGCGATTCTTAAGAGATTATCTTTGAGATTATTCGATAATAATATTTATTGCACTAATTGGTAACTCTCTCTCCTTTATTTCTCATAGGGGCATAGCTGTATGCCAATGTTATATTCCGTAGATGACAACGGACAAATATATTTTGTTTCAAAGTTGGACAACACGCAAAAAAAGGAGATTGCCGGATTATCTGCTATGCGAAAATTCCAATCGTTAGATCGACAAGCGAGAAACGAGACGAATGATAATGCTTTGGATAGCGTGCATCAAAACACAATCAACTGCGTTCGCCGAGTATCCGATTATGAATTTAGCACAAGCAGTTTAGACGGACAACTTGTAGTTTGGGACTTGAAGGTAATTTGTATCATGCATATTTTAATATTTTATAAATGTTAACAATACAATTTTTTTTTCTAATCGATCTTTGTCTTTATCAAGCTTCTAGAGAATTCCATTGCTGGTCTCAAGATAGCGTAAGCATGAAACTTTTTTTATATTGCAAAGATCAGAGATATTACATCCAATACAACGATGTATAAATGTTAAAATGAATACTATACAATTTCTCATTAATTAATAGCCTTATTAAATTTCCCACGTCATATCGCGATTCCTATCCTCTTGAAAAAAGATAAGTGTCGTTTACTACTTATTGCGGTACGTAGGTGATCCGATAACGCAAATTCTGTAAGAAGGTAATATTGGCTATGACGTCATCAATAGATACAAGGTGTCGGAAAAATGCGAATCAATGGCTGCAGAATGTCTTTATCACACACATTTATATATGGTACTTGTGTACTATTGTACCAATCTAATATCATGGAAAATATCAATTCTTGAGAGATAAATCAAGTACTTAAGAGTAGTTCTTAATGAATAAAGCATGTGATGAAGCCTAGAAAAATAGAAAATCGATAAATTAATACCATATTCTATTTTTACCAGAAGAATAATAATATCGCATAAAACGAAAAAAAATCTTTAGCCATATCGAAAATTGAGTTTTAGCTTTTTTATATTCCGCGTTAACATGAACGTTCCCATTTTGTATAAAAATTTTAAAGATACGACACTCAATTCCAAAATCTACTATTGTGATTTATGAGATAAGTGTAGCGATTGAAGGGCAAGTGAATCCGCCATCGGCAGATAAGGCGTAAGTAGCTGTCGCACGCGTCGCACGTCGCACGCGCCAGGAAGGCGGCCGATAAGTGAGGGTGGGGAAGTGGCAACCGGATAAGTTGAGCAACGCGACAGCAACGCGAATATCGATTCGGTCTCGCGCAGTCTCGCGCAAACCACCCTTACGTGTGCAACGGCAGCGGTGCGCTCGAGACCTCGAGAGTCGAGTTTCGCTTTTGCCATGCCCGCAATGCCATTGCTATTGCCCGCCGTCACGTAAACAGAGACGTACAGTAATATATCGCTGATATACGAAGCATTACGAGGCAATACGAAATAGCTCGGCTCGGCATCGTCAATGTCAGCCGTGCTGGCGGTGCTGGCGGTGCTGGCCGTGCATCGCCGGATATCCCGCGAATTACGTGCCGATCGCGATTATTGATTCTTCGTCGAGTAACTTGTGCTTTTATTTTCCTTCCTTTTTCGCTTCTTTTTCCAAAGCCGAGATGGAAGGATTATGTAGGATCATCGCTATAACGCGCGCTGAGAAAAAAATTACGTAAATTTTACGGGCGCGCGCGCGCACGCGCGCGCGCACGCACGCACGCACGCAGGCTATCGTCATCATCATCCCTTCGCTTCGTATGCGCGCTATCATCCCCCTGAAAGCTACTGAAAGCGCGTCGCCGCCGCCGCTGCCACC